ACAACCTTTAAATGGGATGAAATCATGTAGGTATTACGAGATATGAGCGTTCCAAGATGAACTTTTTTGCGACTTTTTGTGTGGAGGGTATACGAAATACTGGTGCTTATCAGTCAAAATATTGGCAGGTTCACATATTTTACGTCACTAATAAATGTCATCATCGGCTAAGGCCGGGACCGCACTGACGTCAACATTGGTCCCAGTATGGTTCCGGCCTTAGCCTTTGTTGACATTTAGGCGGCGTTCCGCATCTTGACCAGAGTTACCGATCGGTATGAAGCGGTTCATCGTTCATCTATGGTGATAGTCTGGTTCCTGAAAATGCGGTTTATGTGTGGAACGCTTTGGTTCAGGTTTGGTTTGGCTTGGATGCTTGATGAAAGAAAATTATCCTCTTTAAAATATATTTGTAATGAGAAATTAACATGAATGAATGTGATATTTACCTCTTGTTCCATTTTCATCGCAAATACACTTCAAAAGCGGAAGAAAAATGAAAAAATTGAAAAATTATCATCTAACCTAACAAACAAATGTCAGAAATTGAAAACAAACCGAAACAACCAAAGCTTTTTGATCGGTAGATTCGGTGACAGTTGGTACTGAATTTTTTAGGAACCGCGTTTCATAACCTAGCCAGATTTCAGGATTAGTTAGGTTATGGAACGGGAACCGGAAAAACCAAGAATCTTGGTTAACTTACGGAACCTCGCCTAAAGCCCGGTACACATCTATCAAACCCGGGACACATCTATCATGCATCCTTCCGATCCGACTCCGATCATACAATGAGGGTCCTTATTCTTGGACAACCAGGAGAACGAGTGTTCTGCTGCTCCCCTGTTCCAAGAATAAGGACCTTGATTGTATGATCGGAGTCGGATCGGAAGAATGCATGATAGATGTGTCCCTGGCTTCTTCCGATCCGACTCCGATCATAGAATCAGGGTCCTTATTCTTGGAACAGGGAGGGTTCCATCTTTCTCAATGATATGCAAATGATAATATGAGTAATGAAGACGGAACACTCGTTCTCCTGGGAACGCTGCTCCCCTGTTCCAAGAATAAGGACCTTGGTTGTATGATCGGAGTCGGATCGGAAGAATGCATGATAGATGTGTCCCGGTCTTAATTTGTTAGTGAGGTGAAATAGGTGAACCTGTCAATATTTTGACATAGCGATTTCCATTTGTAGGATCAATGCAAAAAAAAATGTATCCTTATCCTTACATTTTACATGGTTTTAGAAAAAGATGCGGATACACTCAGTGCGCACTAATTTACAAATGGAAATCGCCATGATAAACACCAGTGGCACCAGTATTTCGTATACTCTCCACACAAAACGTCGCAAAAAAGTTCATCTTTAAACGTGGCTTATATCTCAAAGACCGTAATACCTACAAGATTTCGTCCCACTTAAAGGTTGTTAAGAATTAACTCCTCTACAACATATCAAAATTTGAAAAAAATCGACCGATCGCCAAAATTCCATGTAAGGTGTGCGGGGTCCTTTTTTCGTTCCCGTAATATGACAGTGGTCTCTAACTTCAATATCATTATCAATAAATGTCTGCTAGCAAATGCCACATGCTATTGCATTTTTAAAATCCAACACTTCGTTAGGTGTTAGACGATTCATTGGTTTATTATCATCACAATAGGTAATTACAAAGATGTCTCAAATCGTTTTCCAATCGAGAAACAAAAATTTGGGATGCATCACTTCTACGATACAGCTCAAATTTAGAAACGGAAACAAAGGAGCATTTCATGAGATATTCGAAAGAGTAAGGTTCGTGTTTGACGCTTTTTGTTGTGTAAGAGCTATGAAAGTCTGGTCCACTAGTGTCCATCAGTTTCAGAATTGATTCAAAGTGTACCAAAAGGAACAATTTTTCAATTTCAATTTCAATATTTTCAATTTTCATTATATTTTCTGGTGCAATGGTTCCAAATTTATCAGTCTCTGGATCGCTTGTTGGTGTCAATGTGTATACATACTGAGACGTAGTGATGGGTCTTCCAAAAGGTAGCTCACCAATCGACGAGTTGGTTTGTAATCTTTACCGAGTGGATTTGGGGCGCATTTTAATAATTTCTTTTCTAGAAGAAAGCGTTGTGTCACTTCAGCACACACAGAAAACAATTGAAGGTAGTTTCATACCAATAGTGATTACCCGGTATATCGAGTACATTACCGATAAAGTTATAAACGTACTTTGTACCTGGAAACTAACGAGCCACTACCTTTTGTTTTTGACTGTTCTGCAACTGCTACTAAAAAAGGTAATGGAAGTCCAAAGTTTTATATTCTAGCAAAGGATTTTTGACAAAGGCTGGTCAGCAAGCCCAACAAAACACTCACTGGTTATCTTTCTTTCGCCGAAAATAATATACTAGTGGTTAAAGCCTTGAGACCTACAACCTTTTTTTTTCAGTGTGAGGTCCTTGATATCTGTATGAAATAATCTAGGAGAAGTTTATTACGATATTCTAGTAGTGCTGACTGGAGGTTTAAAAGGACCCAAAAACCGATTGAGCGTCTTATATAAGAGAGCTGAACTTCCGTCATAAGTTGAACCAATTGAGAGGTCGCGAATGTAGTAGAATGATTTGGAACGGAAAAAAGTAACATACTACAGGATAAACAAAGCAACGAGCTTTTTTTTATTAGTAGGTATTCAGCCGATGCAATTCATCATCACACTCATCCGTCATTTTCACATTCAAAAAATTCTGCCGATAGATCTCACTCCCTTATAGAGAACATCAAAGGTGAATATACTAAATGTATGGATTTTTATTTTTAAATACAAAGTCATATTTCAACTACGAATAAAGTTTTGTTCCAAATTATAGGATCGTATTTTCCGTTTTTCAATAAATCTAGATAATATCCGAATACACCTGTAAAATTCATTGCATCAAACAGTAGTGTCCGGTGTAATACTAACGAATGAAACTTGATTTTAATCGATAAGCACTCCATCCTGCCTAAAATTAAAATTGTGTGCTTTGACGTGCAAACATCAGAAAAAAACCCGATTTATCACTAATAAAAATTGGGTTTGTCTTATAGCTTCCCGTTTTACAGCCCAATCATTGATTATATAAAAGGGAACTTTCGGGAAATAACTTTCATCGGATGTAAATCGAAACATTGCATAGCGATTTCTCATATTTTCTTGTTAAGGCTAGAGCTCATATAAGTCTTATTGTTTGTTTCTAATGAGGAAGTTTAATATGATACGCTTTGTGTATTATTTCTTTTGTGCCGAATCTCGCTCCATAAAATTGTAGATATACAGGAAACATAATAGTTATTATGTCATTAGGACAAGAAGTGAATCTTTTTGTGCTGATTTCAACGTTTGAGCCAATGAACTATAATCAAGAACTGGAATGCGCACGCTAATTGCCATATCTGCCAAAAAGTGAAGCCAACAAAGACGGATGTCACAAGAGGGAATGTTGTTCTTCTTTGTTGCTCGCTGACATATGACGTTTTGCAAAGTTTCATTATATTTACCTAGAAAGGTTTTATTAATTGGAATACGTGTTGAAATCAATTTCCGCCATTTAACGTGATGAGTGCGACAAAAACAGGCATCTTCTCCGCAGCAGCAGCACTAGCCTTCACGTTCCTCAATATGTGTGCGCATTCCAGTTCTTGGTTATAGTTCATTGGTTTGAGCTGCAACACTCCATTTTTGAAAAAATAAACAGCTCTCACCATAAGTTTACGAAGTATGTCAAATTTGTTGATTTTAAATGTCAAATTAATATTTGGTCACTCGGAACATATTTTAATGCTCCGAACAAGAAAGCTCGTGAAAGCGAGCAGGCACATCCGTTTGATAATCCGTATTCATTTATGCTCGTACTTTATTTATTCAGTAATTTAGTCAATGAATGAGGAAAAAAAAATGTAAAACGAACAAGTTAATGCAAATTATAAATAAATTATCATGCTCTTGGGGTAATTCCCGAACTTGGTCGTTGCAGCTGCCATCTAGCGAGAAGAAAATGCAAAATTGATTACAAGAACATAATAACGCTGATTGACGCTGCTGCACCTAGCGAGAAAAAAAAAAGGAACAAATTAACCCATACATAAAAATCTTTATGGTCCTAGGAACATTGTCGTCAACGCTTGACACAGAAGTGATGCATTACTTCTGTGTCAAGCGTTGACGACAATAAGGTTCAATATAGACCGCTTGAAGAAAACCATTAGATATATAATGGAAATAACGGTAATTTTATTTACCCGCATCAATTAAAAAAAATAAAATAAAACTTATAGATCATGCCAGAGGAAAACTTAATTTCAAATGTTCTTTTTTGTGAGTATACAGGGCAAAGGAAATTGCTACAAATTTCAAATGGTTCAATTTTTTTGGCACCGGGTAATAAAGACAAAATAAGAACAGTCACTGATGGATCTCATTCAACTTTAATACATTTATTTTCCAAGTTACATTTTTGTTCAAATAGTTAAATGATATTTAAATGCAAAGAAGTCATAAACGGTCGCGTAATATATCAAGTCACTTATGGTGACAGTTACAAACAAAAGGTACATAACATTAATCGCAAACGCCGTGGCGTGCGGCAAACAGAAACAAGGACAATAATTAAAATAGACACAAATATTATTTTGTAATGATGGATTTATAATCTGTTGTGCTGCTACCAGCCCTGTTTTGCCATTCATTGTAAACTGCTGTTGTTTGACCCTATACCCATCTGCTATTTTGGCAAATGACACATGAATTAAAAACAATTGTTCGAGCCTATTGTGAAGGTTTTATAACTGATTTGCTAAAGTGCGTGCAAATGAATTATTAAAGTCTACTCGAATGTCCCATTTTTATTTAAGAGCCGTGGCTGTTTATTGTGATACATGACTTTATTACCACTATTTTCGGTTTTGACAACAATATCTACTCACGTGCATTTATATTTTTCAAATAAAAGAAAATTTTACTTACAATGTACATGAAGCATCATTCTTTTGCTAACTGTTGGAGGTACTCCATTAGCAGCTATACACAAATAAGCTCCCATTTCAGATCTAGTTACTTTTGTTAATGTTATGACCTCTCCGTCAACAAAATTTACACGTTCCTTTTTGGCAGAATGGTTTCCTCGAACTAAAATGGAACCTGAATCTTCTCTTCGCCAAGTTATCTTTGGCTTGGGGTATCCTCTGGCTTTGCAGACAAGTTTTGCTGATCCTCCTTCGGGTACCATCAGATCCCCAGACGTTTCTTCGTACACAATGTCGGGTGGTATGACAACTTCTAAAAATGCTGTCTAGAAATAAAAATGGCGTGTCATATTATCATCAAGCTTGCAGAAATTATTGTATTTCCAGCAGAACTAGACTAGAGTATTTTCAAGGTACTTTACGATGAGGTTATATCTATAGTTTTTCGTAACTTCTTAACAAAAATAAACAGTCTGTTTTTGAAAAGTTCAGAATGTAATGGTTGGAAATGTTACAAATTAGTGCAAGTTTCGAATACATCAAAAGTTTAACTAACCAGTATTAATAAAACCGAAGTCCCTACAAAAACCGGCTAGTGAATAGTTAATTTGAATATTCGAGCATAATAATTTACGTAAGTTCTGTCCAGCTCTGATTTAGCATTTTATTTTTGGGCTTCATTTTAGCAATACCTATCGTAAATTCTACCTCCTCATTTTTGTTGATGCCTAATATTTGGTGGCAAAATAATAATATTGGGAAATTCCTAAATAAACTTAATACAATTACATACTCTACCTGCATTTTCATTGGATCCGTATTCACTTGGCACATGTACTGTCCTCTGTCCTCCCTCTTAACATTACGAATATTCAATGTCCATGTATTGAAATCGTTGTGTGTCACTGACAATCTTGCGTTGTTTGTTATCACGCTCTCGTGTATCGCTAATATCGCTTTTGTGTCTGCTTTTATCCATGCAACCTGCGACACAATTTCAAAAAAAAAAAAAATGTTTTTCTAATAAAGATAATTTTTCCATATTGATAGTGCATAAAAAAACGCCCCCAGTTATGTAAATAAAGAAATTCAATTTACTAAAAAATTAAATATGTTTCGTTTAATAAAAAAATATTTCACCAACTGAAAAATACATGTTTTTCATTCAGTAGTAGGTTTCAAATTGAAGTAAAATATTTTTCAATGTAGGTAAAACTCTGCTATTTATTAGCTAGAAGGCAAATATTTATGATATATTTTTTTATAATTCACAGTCTGTCAATTCAATTCTTTTCGTACCTGATATCTCGAAAAGTGGTAGAACATTACCGAAATACTCATCAATACATTTTGTAGAAACTTTTTTTTTTTTTAATTCAATTCCCATGTTCAACATTGATAGTGTTTCAAAAATAATCTCAAATGAAAAATGAGATCGAGTAACATTTTAGAGGACTGTTATTCAATTGATTCACTTTTTGTAATTTTCCAAAATTGTTTCAGAGATTCAAGTGAATATTAAATTTTTTGATGTCCCAATTTTTGAGTATACATTTTTTTATACCTATCACTATTTTTCTGGTCAAAACATTTGATGAACTTTTAAATGGGTCTAAGGGAAAAAAAATTGAAATCATCTTAGTGCTGATGAAACTACCCTTAAGATAATTTACAATCAAATCCTCTTCCCAATAAAGAGTTTACGACGGATTGTTCCTTCCGAGGGTTGCAAACTCTGTTGTCCCTCATCCCAAAAATATTGCCTAATTGTTTCTGGTTTTTCTCAAATTTTACTAATTTTCGGTATTACAGGCTTGTTCAATATTGGATTTGACCCTACAAAATATTCAAAAACTGCTTCATTTTGAAATGGAAATTCGGTACAAAACACAGATTTCCGCATATGAGGACGTGGAATATCAAAGGCTGACTCACCGGCTCGCCAATTTGCACTTCTCAAAGTAAATTTTTCATTGGCACCGTTCTTTGTGCCAAACTACTTTTTAAAAGCAATATTGTTAATCTTTGAGAACGAGGTGATGAAGCCCTAGTTTTGGTAAAGTTGACGTACCTACAATACATAGTCTCAAGGCCAATCGTTTTTCAATAGAGCTTCGAAATCTCCAGAAGCCCAAAACTAGTGCTGGCAATGATGGAGCTTGATCAACAAGGCTAATTTTTTCTCCATATATTCCCTTATAACCAATGATAATAGAATGGGGGGCCTTCGTTCGTCATTCAATGCTGGAACCAAAGCCCTTCAAATGGGTAGTACCCATATTTTCCATATAAGTCGGATATGCAAAAATACAGTATAATTTTTTCCATTACACGAAATAAGCACCCGTTTAAGCGATGGTTAACAATACACAGTTGTGTCACTGGACGTCCGCAAGGCCTTCGACTCAGTGTCTCATAATTCAATAACCAGCAGAGCTCTCCGCAGGCTGGGGGTTCCCCTTGTTCTGCAAGAATATATCTCTACGGGCCTGAGGGAGTCGGTTACGCAAATCAATGTTGGTAAGGAGGTCACCGCGGAGATCCGCATCAGTCGCGGGGTCAGACAGGATGATCCAATGAGCCCTATGCTGTTCAACATGGTAATGGACGAGATGCTCGACTCAATAAATGCCCGATACGAAAAAGGCACTATTTCAGTCACACAGCGTGTGGCTGCTATGGCGTTCGCTGACGATGTCGTTCTCTTAGCTGACATTTCGAGATGCCGTTAATGCTGGCCGACATACAACGGTTCCTCGAGAATCGCAGTACGTCTATAAATTCCATGATCCACTGCAGCCTACGGGGCGGTAGACTGGGGATCGCTGAGCTTCTTCGGGTAGTGCCGCAACAACTGTTAGGCAGGTGCTATAGACTCCTCATGAAACTGGTGGACCCGCTCGTGCAGGAGGTCCTTCACACCGACAGGATGCAGGCAATATTCGAGCGATTGTTTAAAATGTCAGGGGACGCCCCCTCCGCACAGTACTGGCGGGAAGAGTTGGATTCGAACCCGTTCACAAAGGGCTTTTCCAAGGCTAACGAGTATTCGAGCAGACGCCACTGGCTGCGGGGTAGACCAGCTGGTTGGACCGGCAGGGACTTCGTCAGGGCTTTCCAGCTCCGGATTGCCGGTTGCGGGAAAATTGCATCGAGGCATAATGAGATCGTGTCAAAAATTAAGCATCATTGCTCTCATCTCGGCTTCATCGTAGAAGACGAACCGCATTTAAGATCAAGCAAAAGCCAGACCTGGCTATCCATATCGGGGGCCTCGCGACCATCATAACAGACGTGCAGGTCTCTTGGGACGGGGCTGATCGGACCCTGTTGGAGAGCTGACAGACTAAGCGGGACAAATACCGCAACGCCGACTTTCTGGAGGCATTGCAATAAAAGGGATATGAAAGCCTCTCTAGAAATTGAAACTACATGCTTCTATTCATAGTTTTTCTTGGAAATTTTCTAAGATACACGGATCCTTTCCCTTCGAAGAACTGTAGATTTTGTAGCTGGACACGCCATTCCATCAGTGGGCATAAGGAAATTTATCTTGAATATATCCGTTGCCAGTTCTTAGCTTACAATTTTTTGCACCATCAGCTAACTCCGGCCTGTAATGGTTTATATCTATCTCATATTAGATAAAACCTAATTTATTGTCTACTGTTTCGTGGGTTATGGGATAGGCAAGAAAAGACTAATTATTCTTTGGGACGTTTCGGTGCTGTATTGCGCCTTTTTCAACCCTATTGTAACAAAACACTCTTATTAATCATATTGTGCAAATAAATGGAAAGCTAAACCACTTACATTAGAAAATTAAGTCAAAAAGCCTGGCTTATTTTTGGTGTGGATGTGAACCATCTCAAAGTAACAATGCTATTACACATCTCCCAATCGTGCAGAACTAGGCGCTTGTTGTAATTATTTAATAATTAATCTGTGGCAATGATCCGCGATTTTTTTAATATCGATTTTTTTTATAAAATTCCTTGTTTATGCGAAAAGTTTGGTTATGGAGAGCCATTAAGCTGCATTCATACAACAACAGTGTGACGTCATAATAAGTGCTACATCATACATCACCATCACAACAATTGCGAGACGTTCACCAAATTAAATTACAATAAACGAAAAAACAATGAAATATCAAAAAATAAATAAAAATGAATATAAACAACACATTATCACTTTCACCAACACAAAATTTGCCATTATTTAATGATCTTAGAAAATATAGTATATAAAAATTTCTTTCTTTAAACGTATTAAAAACTGCTAGTTGGACTAACGACATTACAAACAGATTAAAAAATATAAAAGATTGGAACAATATACATCTAAAATTAACACTTAGAAAATCACAGGCACATATATGCTATCACAGTGCAAACAATTATCACTCTATATTAGTACCTGGTAATTATTAAGCGCCACTGGCGTAGCTAGGATTTTTTCTTGGCGGAAGGGGGGGGGGGGGCAAATTTGTAGGAAGTTTCTTGCCCCCCCCCCTGGCTATCCAGTGTTTTGCGCTAAGATATAGTTATTTTTTATTAATTTGAGATTTGTTTACTTACTTATCTAAAATATTATATATGTAAATTGTTCCAATATTTTATATTTTTTAATCTGTTTGTAATGTCGTTAGTCCAACTAGCAGTTTTTGTGTTGGTGAAAGTGATAATGTGTTGTTTATATTCAATTTTATTTATTTTTTTGATGTTTGATATTGTTTTTTCGTTTATTGTAATTTAATTTGGTGAACGTCTCGCAATTGTTGCGATGGTGATGTATGATGTAGCACTTATTATGACGTCACACTGTTGTTGTGTGAATGCAGCTTAATGGCTCTCCATAACCAAACTTTTCGCATAAACAAGGAATTTTATTAAAAAAATCGATATTAAAAAAATCGCGGATCATTGCCAAAGATTAATTATTAAATAATTACAACAGATGTGTAATAGCATTGTTACTTTGAGATGGTTCACATCCACCCCAAAAATAAGCCAGGCTTTTTGACTTAATTTTCTAATGTAAGTGGTTTAGCTTTCCACTTATTTGCACAATATGATTAATAAGAGTGTTTTGTTACAATAGGGTTGAACAAGGCGCAATACAGCACCGAAACGTCCCAAAGAATAATTAGTCTTTTCTTGCCTATCCCATAACCCACGAAACAGTAAACAATATACAATGGAGGAATACGAAAACCAAACAACTAATTTATTGCCGTGTAGAAAAAGCTAAGTAGATACAGGATAACAGCTACTTTTGTTTTGATATGACTGCACATAACCTAGGTACAAAAATCCAGTAAATTCGAATAGTACGTCTCCCCGATACCGTAGTCTCTATGCTGACGGCGAACTGTGAGGCCGAAGGCGAATATAAACGCTCTTATGGGATTTCTAATACATATTCAATTGATAATGGCGTCCCGACGGCAAGTTTATAAATAGGGCTTTACCCTGGGCCCAAAAGCAAATAATCGTAGTTCAAATTCATTTATTATATAGATACATTGTTTAAACATCGATTGCAAGATATCTGCAAATTTGACAGCTGTAAGTGAATGTCCATTTTACTGGACGTCGGGATATTTTAATAACCGTAACTATAATATTCCACCAGTTCAGTTAACTGGACGCCCAGTGTCCAGTAAACTGGACGTATTTTTCAATTGACAATAATAATTATTGTAAATAACGAAAAGAAAGTTTCTGAAAATAATAAAAACTCGAGCATATTCCCATAGAAACTGAATATAATCTAGAAAAGATAAAATATAACGAAAACAAAGTTTTTAAAAATAATAAGAACGAAAGGAAACAAAATCGAGCAAAAACTGAAATTTTAAACTTCTGCTGTGGCCTGCTTCATGAAAACAACTTATTGCCATATCCCGCATTTTTAAAAGCTAATTTAGATCCTATTTAGTAGCGTCAAGTTTACTGGACGCGGGCTCTGACAAGAAACCC